TAATACATGTGTTTTTGTACCCTTGATGTTGGCAAATAAAAATAATGTTACCGGGTTTGTGGAAGTGCTGGAGGCTTTACTCGGTGTTAATATCCAAGGCTTTGTCTCGAGATTCATTTTAAAGTACATTTTTTGTGGCTGTCGCTTCCGAGTGTAGGGTCGGGGAGCTTCAAACACTCTTACGGAGGTGAAGTGCTGTTCTTTGGACCCTAGTGGGCAGTTTCTTCATCTGCAGTCATCATCTTTTCTGACAAAGAATGAGATAGCTGGTTTCTGGAGAATTTCATTAGTTGTCTACTCTTGGTTGGTTCCCTGCTTTATTTTTTGTGCATGGTTGCAGAGGTCTGCTGTTATTCATGTACCCATAAGGATGATCCGGGTGATGAATTGATTGTTGACCCAGTGTTTGTGGTTCATTGTTCGTTTGCTTCCGATCATCCACAGTGTCATTAAGTTTAGCCAGCCTGTGTTCAACCCTTGGGCTGATGATCATAAATTCCCATAAGATAACATTGAGTTCTCAAATGTTTTGGACTGATATTCAACATTGGGGTTTTGGCATTCCAACTGGGTGTTGGCAGCACATTATCATGTTAATATGTCAGGCCTGCAAGGAGTTTGTGGGATTTTTGGGTAGGGTTAACTGGCTCTGAATCGTGCTTTTTTGGGAGTTACTAGGCTTCTGCTCTGTGACAAGATAACAGAACCATCAATGGAGCCCCCCCCCCCCTCAGAAAACCAGCATTGAATCGAAGGCAATGCATTTTCCTACTGCCTTGGTTTTTGTCTTTGCTCAGCTCATGACTGAGGAGTTGAACTGGACCTGGTTTTCAGAGGAGTTTAGATTTTCTATGCTATTCCTTTCTAGTGGCTTATTTCCCAGTTAGGGTGAGCTAACATCCCTTGCTCTCTGCACCTATGAGAGCGCGCCAGGTTTTGCCCTGTGGTCCCATTAGGCTTTTAGTAACTCACGAGAGCTTGGTGCGATGCAGTGTGTACAGAGCTACCTTACTTGCTAGCAACAGGGAGCCACTGAGGACTCAACAGGGAGCCACTGAGGACTCAACAGGGAGCCACTGAGGACTCAACAGGGAGCCACTGAGGACTCAACAGGGAGCCACTGAGGACTCAACAGGGAGCCACTGAGGACTCAACAGGGAGCCACTGAGGACTCAACAGAAAGAGGTGATTCATTACATTTAAGGTCAGTCTGTGTGTTTTTTCACAAACATCATTCTGGAGACATAGTACCATCATGAATTGGTAGTGTACAAAGTGGCATTAAACAGGGTATGCATGTATACTTAAGAAAGTTGTTACTTTTATCATTTGTTACATGTACTGTATTACCATATTATAGTTTAGTATGAAATTAAAAAATAAATTTAAGGAAGAAATATTGTTATGTAAATAGTTTCCATAAACAACAAGGAATTACCTTCATTATCAGGTACCAGGTAGCAACTCACAACTGCAAAATAATTTATTTAAGTGTAATTGTCTTATTAAATGTTTGAGCTATGACTTTTTTCTCTCTCAATACTGTATTACACATAAATCAATTAACTAGAATTTGGAAATACTATCAACAATAGCTTAATTAACACATGCACTTGCTTCATATTTTACTGATTATAGAAAATGATTTGAGTAATTGCTCAACAGACGCCATTTTCTAAGACAACTTCAAAATTACTCAGCGAGCCATGGCTTCATGGCCCACCGTCGACTCGATACACTGGCTGTAGCTGATCTATCTTTAAGTATTGTAAGTAACTTTGCAAATGTTTTTTTTCAATTATTTGAGAAGGGAGACAGTGGAGAATCAATTTCTATCCATCACCGAGTGATTGCTCATATGACAAACTGAGCATATCCTGCTCCCTTCCAAGTGCTATATAGTCGTAATGACTTGGTGCTTCCTCCTCATAATTCCCTTCCCTTCCTAGTACAGTACACTCATAAGCATCATCATTATTGCAAAATTTGTGGCTGTCATTCCCGCCTCCGTTCTTGTAGCACCAGCACCTTATTTGTAATTCTGTCCTTGTCTGTGCAACAGGACTTGTTATACTCATCTCTTATGTGTGGCTTTGTCCTTGACCAGGAAATGGAAATGTCAGGTGAACTTGGATCAAGATGGAAGGAGGAGGGGTAGAAATATGCAGTATGTTTTATCTGAATTTTACCTGAATTAACCTAAGGGGGCCACTATCACTAGGGGCCTCGACGAGGACAGGAAGTCGGCGTATCAAAAGGTCCGTTCCCCTTTGCCATGATGTTCTTTTCCAGTTGAACTTTAAAATTTAAGAGTTATGGCATTTACAGCTGTGGTGGGTAAGTGGTTCCGTGGGTTTATAACCCTGTGGGTTATAGGCTCAGGAACAGGCTTCTCTTGTTCTCAGTCCTACATTGTGGACTGCATTGTAGTTACCTAAGTGAGGTAATTACAATGCAGCCCACAATGTAGGACTGAGAACAGGAGAAGCTATTTAACCCACAGGGTTATAAACCCATGGAGCCACTTACCCACCACAGCTGTAAATGCCATAACTCTGTTAAATTTTAAAGTTCAACTGGAAAAGAACATCGTAGCAAAAGGAGGGGGGGGGGACATTTTGACACGCCAACTTTCTGTCCTCGTCGAGACCACTAGTTATAGTGGCCCCCTTAGGTTAATTCAGGTAAAATTCAGATAAAACATCTGCAGGATTGTGTCCTGTAAGTTATGCCTGTATCCCTTGCTGTGGTAAAGCAACAATAAGCTGGGGTCTGAGTGCGTGTGTGTGTGTGTGTGTAGTTAACCGAGTGTAGTTAAAGGAAGAGTTATGTTCGTGGTTTCCCATATACCATATAATCTTTTGTCATGTGACATTTTGAAACCACTGAAGCTTTCTGGCATTCGTCGCCTTCTCACTTATACTGTTCCAGCCAATTATAACTAAAAAAAAAAAGAACTTTTCCATATTTCTGCAGATTCTGTTTGAAAGGATGTCTGAAAAATAATTTACAGTGGATTGCTAAGCTCGGATTTAATATTCCCCTCAGAACACAAAGGCAGGTTACATCTATTTCTGCCTAGCTTCTTAAGAAGATTTTCTTTAACTCATCTCTTGAACACGTCTTTTGCAAACGGAGTGGTAGACGGTTGGAACAAGTTAGGTGAGGTGGTGGTGGAGGCCAAAACCATCAGTAGTTTCAAAGCGTTATATGATAAAGAGTGCTAGGAAGACAGGACACCATGACCATAGCTCTCATCCTGTAACTACACTTAAATAATTACATCTCAGTACTCTGTTATAAACTATATTGCGTCAGGCTCTCTGAAAGCTTCATTTTGACCAAACACACGTTGGAACTGTTCATTCAGCATTTCACACATTTTCTTTTTAGTCTATAAATCTGTTTCCTCAATCTAAATCTCCAGAATTTATTTTTTGTGTAATTTGTTTTTTATGAATTTGTAGAAAATGTAGCATTCTGTTTTACATTTGTCCGCTATCTATTTCTCAAAGTTTTTTCCTGCCTTTCTTCTCATTGTTGTGTAGTTGCAACATTTTTATTTGTTGGTTAGGCCTCTTCCAATATTGATTTAATACTGTTTTTTGTTCTCTGGCATATTTACAAATACATTTTTGGATGTTTTCATCATATAAGTTATCTGTGAGATGGATTCTAAGATCTGACGAGCGAATTTGTCTCCTGATATTATAAAGAATATGCAATTGTAGAACTATGAGGGTTACAGAGATGAAATTTCCATGGTAGATGGTATGGTGCCATGGTATGCAAACTTCAAATGTGAATAAAGTATATTTAACCATTCTTGAGATATAGACTACAGTATATTAAGAGTAATATCATTAGCTCAAATGCAAACATTGTTGGATCATTCTTTGCATACAAGACTGCTGAAATCTGCCATCAGAGGACTACATGCCTCACTACCTTAAAACACACTACTAAAATCTTGAAAGTGTCAGTGCGACGTGTGAAGCATTCTCCAGATATGGTTGCAACATTGTCAAATTTGAAACAAAATAATCAGAGAAAACCAAAACATATCCCCTGCAAGTGATGGGTTATAGTAACATTAAATAGTTTAGGGAGAAGAATAATGCTGAAAGAAGGCAGTACAATAAAAGTATTTGTAAATTTTCTAGCAATTACAGGAATAAATCCCCAAGACCACAACAGAGATCACTTCTGTTATTCTGGCAGCTATAAATACTACAGCTATAAATTGCACATATATGAAATAGCTTCAAAATAATATCAATAACAATTATAAATTAAAAAATAAAAATGACATCCCCATGTAGAAGGCCTGAAATTGTTTGTCAACCCCCGTCCCTCTCAAGAATAAGACTGTTCATGTGATTACTTGACAGGTAATACCCATACAGTTAATGGAGAAATCTAGAGGATGTTCTAATCTTATGGAATCCAATCTTATGCAAGGTAACAACATTTATTATAAGTACTTGTGTCTTGTGCTGATGTTCACAAGAACCTATAAAATTTCTACATCTTTAAGCTTCAAAACAGTAATGCGAACCAAAAATATTCTTGATTAAGACTAAAGTTGTATAGCCAAAGTATGCAGAAACAAACACACCTAAATATTAGAGAAGCATGACATAATAATGAATGAGACAATTATCAAACGTGGAATTAAGAAAATATCATTCACTGTAGAAATAGATATTATGAGTTTATGTACATTTCAGTATTCAGAATGTTGAATGCCATCTGAAAACCAGATTATCAATGACTTTCAGGCCAGTAATACAGGAACTAAACTGTAAATTTTAGCACAGCAATCCATACATCTTTTTTCAAGCTTAAATATGCCCCTAAATTTTAAAGCTTTCTGGAAGAAATACTGAAAAGAAACACACTTAAAGGCAATTCAAAGTTTATCATCAGCAAAGACCAATTTGAGAGAGATGTCGTGTGACCATTAGGAACAAGTCCAACGTAATGCTTGAGAACCTTACCTGTAACATTGGTAGATGGTAAGCCACCATTCAGGGAGTCCATCACTCCTAGTTCTGACAGAGTCTTTGGCACAAACTCTGGCTTTGGGATACTAGCTGCTTCATTTTTCCTGAAGCAGAAAAATGATATAAGCTGAATAGATTACTAAATTTCCTATATGCCAGCCAGATAGGCATAATGAATTACTAAGAGATCAAGCATTTCAAAGAAATATTACATGGTAAAGTACTGCTACTTTTCTAAGAAAAAGAAAAATCTCAACTCCATAGCCAATAATTACCAATAGCATAAATGATTAATAATTACTTCTCAATAAAATAATTTCCAATTTATATGGGTCTATACAAATTATATTAAAATAGCTGTAATATTTCAAGTGCACAGTAAAGTTTGATCAAAAAATTTAAACAAATTGCCAAGAAATAATTTCCAATATTTATAATTTTAAAACTTTTTAAGTTGTTCCTACAACAGAGGTTACTGATAATAAGATAGTTTATCATATACAGAGTCATTTTATATAACAAATACAGTATGACTATAAATATCAGAGTCCAGAATTAAGCAATAATCAAAGTGTACATTCTACAGTGAAGCGTCAATGACCAAATTGCTCAGGACAAAATGTGCAGATTAATGAATTATTAATCCTTAGGCAGCGGTCATCATCATATGTTGATTCACAGGTTAAATGCAGTTATTGTCATATGACGATTTAAACACTTATTGCCTGGGTTTTACACACACTATGCAAATAAGAATATAATAGGTCTATGTGAATGTAATGGAGTTTACCTTAACCCTTGAAAAATCCTGCCCTCATTAGTTACCAATAAATCCTGTTAGTTATTAGTTACTAAGTGAATGCGTTTATCATCTTCTGATGATTATCATCTGTGGGTGCACATTAGTGGTTTATACCTCTGTTTCAATCTATACTCCTGCCCATATGGTGTAATTAGGTCACATGTCATCGGCCCAACACCATCGAATATTATGTTAATATCCTTTTCACTACGTGTTATTGATTGTAATGTAGTATACCAGGTAAACCAATCATCAATTGTTATCATGTCATATAAATTATGTGATTTATCCAGGCTCCCCAGAGATATCCAGGCTGAATGGATATGTATATCTTTCTGGCATCAGTCAATGCATGGAATTCTTGTCCACCGGGGACCACGAGCCAGAACTTGGCCCCCCCCTCTAGAGAGGCACAATGAGCAATGGCCTATAGAGACCCCCTCCCCCCCCCTGTGGTTGGGAGCATTCTATGTCTGCCATCGACCAAGACATGCACCCAAAAAGATAGGCGCCCAAAAACAAACCCCTATTCTAGTAAACTATTGCGACAGAAGGCCAAACAAGTGGACAGAACTCCACAAACGAAAATTAACAAACTAGCATGACATCATCATGTCGCCGCGCCGCTGTCTACACAACCCCCTATCCCCAGGAGGGGGAAGGGGGAGCCCCAGACCCACCCGCCAGTGACCCAACCTTCAGTTCTTGGCTGATGGGAGTCTGGTGCGGTCGTGCCTCTGGCTTCAGTTTTTGTTTCAGTTCTGTGCCTTGTGGTTAGGGCTGTCTCTTCAGGTGGTGCGTGAGCCTGGAGTTGTATTTCACGATTCACGGGCTGCATGCGCCTAGGGTTCCTTTCCCTAGGTGCCCTGTAAATACTGCCCTTGGGACTTGGGGCCTTCTTCCACAAGTCACCTCGGGATCTACCGCCGTTGTGCCGTTTACTGCTCGGTACTTGACCGCCCTTGGGGTTATCTCGAGATGATTTCGGGGCTTTTTTTTTTTTTTTAATGTCCCCGCGGCCCGGTCCTCGACCAGGCCTCCACCCCCTAGGAAGCAGCCCGTGACAGCTGACTAACACCCAGGTACCTATTTTAGTGCTAGGTAACAGGGGCATAGGGTGAAAGAAACTCTGCCCATTGTTTCTCGCCGGCGCCTGGTATCGAACCCAGGACCACAGGATCCAGCGTGCTGTCCGCTCAGCCGACCGGCTCCCTTTTCAGCCGAGCCAGTCGAGCCTTTTGAGCTGACCCCTTTTCGGGGTCAGCTGGGTTTTTTCTTACCCCTTGTTTGTCTCTGGGTAGGGGTAGTTTTCGTCACTGGCAGGGGTGCAGGGTACTGCACAGCTAGTTTTCACCAATAACAGTGGCCAGCTCTGTTTTGCCTGGGTATGTTTGTCCTCTTGTGGGTTTTTTTCTTTTGTTTTTGTTTTCTGCCTGGTGGGGGTCTGCCTTTGTCGTCCCCCATCGCTGTTCTTGGGGTATATACAGTGGAACCTCTATTAACGAGTTTAATCTGTTCTGGCGCCGAGCTCGTTACCTGGAAAACTCGTCTTAAGAAACAAATTTCCCCATTTAAAATAAAGGAAATAAATTTAATCCGTTCCACTCCCAAAAACATTCATACTTGTATGACTTTTTTTTATGTAAATATAATACTGCACATGTAAATATAAATGTTTTGTTGTAGTGTTTTAATATTTACTTTACCTTATGAAGAGTAGTTGCTGGCTTGAGGGAGACGATGGGGAGGTGGGAAGAAGGAGAGGGGTTATGGTGTGGAAGGAGAATCCACCTCTGAGTCAGGCAGACTCTCTCTGCTTGGGAATTTCACCCAAATTTCATTTCAAATGTCACACAAGGATGCGTTAGACCAGCACCAAATAAAAAACTCCAAATAAAAAACTATGTCGATTACACTCGTTGTGTCAAAAATATAGTAGTCTTACCACGAAGATACAATACAATGCCGTTTTCTCAAATAGGCAATGTGGTTATTAAAGAAAACGGAAATTTCATGGCAAACATGTATACAATCCCCAAGTCGATCGGATAAGAATTGGATTTTATAGAAATATTTGCTCAAATGACGCTTGAGCGCGGTGTTTGGGTGCATTCAAGAGAAAAAAGTGTGTCACGTTCAAGCGACATATACCTGTGAAAGTGATAACACTTTCATAAAGTGTTATCACAAAGTGATTAATTAATTAAACATTTTCACACACCGGGTTGTCACTGCTTTATCAGGGCAGCTTTTCCAAGAATGCATTCACCTTTTCAAACATTCCAAACACTTCCCTGATCTCAGTGTAAGAGGCAGCATCCTCCCTTACCTCCTCATTCCCTTACTAATGGTGTAAATTGTTGATGAGGACCTGCCATACTCCTTTGTGAGATCAATCACACAGACACCACACTCATGCTTTGCTATAATTTCCTTCTTTAAATCCACAGTAATTGTGTCTTTCTTCCTCTTGACAACACTATCTTTAGCAAGCAGCTTCTTTGGATACATCGTGTGTTACAAATTGTAGTCGCAAAACCACTAAAAACCCAAAGAAAAGCTCAAATAAATCCAGAGGGATGTTTGTCGTGTGCGATACAACAACAACACTGGCGTCGGAAGCGTCTGAGAATTTGCGAGAACCCGCGAGATGCTAGGAAGCACCATGTGGTTTTGCTCGTTAATAGAGGCGAGCTCGTCAATAGAGACAAATTTGCCGCGAGGGGTTTGCTCGTTACTGGAAAAACTCGTTAATAGAGCCACTTGTTAATCGAGGTTCCACTGTATATATATCTGTATTTCTGTGTTTGGTGGTCCTCCCCTTTTGGCCCCCGTGAGTGAACACGTCTTGAGGGTTCAGCTTTAGAAGTTTGTTTGGTAGACTTGGACACCGGTCCGCAGTACCCTGCCTGGGTTTTCCTTAGCGTGTAACCATGGCTAAGGGCCCTGGGAAACCCCATGGGGGCTCTGTGGTCCAATGGATGTGACCCCTGAGTCCCCCCTCGCATCTTGCAAGTTTGAAGGTTGCTCTGTTTCCTTGTCTCAGGGTGAAACTCACCGGTTTTGCCTCCGCCATCCTGCCTGTTGGGTCGATGATTGTTTTGACCCGGAGTCGTGCGACATGTGTTGTCTGTACGTGCTCAAGTTCACCCAAGCTACTGTTCATGATATGCGGGTTATCTTGAGATGATTTCGGGGCTTTTTTAGTGTCCCCGCGGCCCGGTCCTCGACCAGGCCTCCACCCCCAGGAAGCAGCCCGTGACAGCTGACTAACACCCAGGTACCTATTTTACTGCTAGGTAACAGGGGCATAGGGTGAAAAAAAACTCTGCCCATTGTTTCTCGCCGGCGCCTGGGATCGAACCCAGGACCACAAGTCCTGCGTGCTGTCCGCTCGGCCGACCGGCTCCCTACCGGGTGCAGGCAGCTGCGGCGTTGCATGCTAGGTTTAGGTTGTTGCAATGCTCTAGGTTGGTTGCGGCCCCGGATGCCCCAAGACTGCCCCGTTTTGGTTATAGGGGTCCGGACTTGGGGGTGGGAGTCGCTTCGGCTCCGGTTCAGTCCGCTCCTCCTCGTCCTTTCCCCTTCTGTTGTGCATACTTCCTTCCCCTTGCTTCCGGCTCTGAACCGTAGGCAGGTTTCGGGGTTGGGCAGGGTCTGGTTGGGTTGAGACTCGGGTGGTCTCGGGGGTTTTCCTTTTCCGGGGTGGCAGTAGAGGCATTCAAGCCTGTTTCTGCAGTCGTGCCATATGGGTCTGACCAGTGGGCTCCCTTCCTTAGTGTTTTGTGCGGCTGCCCCGGCTTTTACTTGTGGAGCTGGGGCTTTGGGGGAACGACTCGGCCCCCGGGTCCTGCTGTAGAGGTTACTGGGGTTGGGAAGGGGATACCTGGGAGGCCTAGGCCCCGTTTTGCCCCACTGGGATTTTTATACCCTCGGAGGGGGGGTTTGCAGTTCCTCAGAGTGGGGTTTTTCCTTCCCCCCCTCTGCATTCGTGTTGGTTTTGGGTCTACCCCTCCCTGGGTTCAGTTCCGTGTTCCTTCGGGCCTGTCGTTCCATGTCCCTTCGAGTCCGTCGGTTCCGTCCTTCCTCGGTTTGCTTTTCACCCCTTTCCTCACCTTTTTCATGTTTCTATCACGATGCTGTTCCCTTCGTATCGGGATCCCTGCACGTCACTTGGTCTGAGGTATCTTTGGGCCCGTATGTGCCTAATGTGCGTTTGCGATTGCTTGTCTCGGTTCTTGTTGGTTCGCGAACCTCTTCGGTACTTCCAATATTATTAGAACGTTTGTTGACTTCCAGTGAGGTTTCCCTCCAGTCTTTTCTCAGACTCGTTGGTCCCCTTACGTCCTCCTCCTTTTTTGATTCTGTTTCGCCTTCTTTTGTTTTCACATTGTCTCTCCTTCCTGTTTCGACATTCCTCATATTCGTTATGTACACCTTGCTGGTGCATGTCCGATATGTGTACTGTACATACGACTGGTGTGTTGCATATGGTGTAGTGTGCTACACATGTACGACTGGTGTACGAACCGTGATGCCCGGAGGACGGGTGATGCAGTTCGTACCTCGGGCGCTGGGGCCAGGGTGGTCGTTTAGTTTCTGGGCAGTGTACACATGTGTTGGTGTTCTGCGTTCTTTCTCGTGGATTCTATGCCATTTTCGCTCCTCTTATCTCCGGTCATAACCCCCTAGATACTCGGTGTTCTGGATTTTGTGTGGGGAACGATTTTCTAGTTCTTTTCTCAGCTTGCGAGTGTGGGGCAGCTCTGAGTGGCGCCTCCTCCGCCTCTGTACTGCATGCACCTCGTCTTTTACTAGGCACTCACCTCTGGACATTCTCCACTATGGATGCTCCTGCTACATTGCACGGCTCAGCTGTGTAGTGACATGGTCGTGTGTCTGTTCAGCAGGTGAGATTGTACTGTCTGGTAACTCTGTCGGCCTGGTGCTGGTTCTCGCTTTTGGTGGGGTACTCACCTGGTTGTCCTCACCTAGTTGTGCTTGCGGGGGTTGAGCTCTGGCTCTTTGGTCCCAGCCTCTCAACTGTCAATCACCGGTGTACAGTTTCCTGAGCCTACTGGGCTCTATCTTCTCTAAATTTGCAACTGTGTATGGAGTTCGCCTCCACCACATCACTTCCTAGTACATTCCAATTCCTAACTACTCTGACACTAAAAAAGTAAAATGTTTTTTTAATGTCTCTGTGGCTCATTTGGGTACTCAGCTTCCGCCTGTGTCCCCCTGTGTGTATACCACCCGTGTTACATAATCTGTCCTTGTCTACTCTGTCACTTTCCCACTTGACAGGGTAGCGTCACTGGCACTTAACAGGGGTGTTTGGTGTTGTGTGTTTTGCTTGGACACTTTGCATGTGTCTTACAGTGACTTTACTTTGTCCATGTATCTTGTTCTTCGTTGTCCTGTGGGGCACTGCCCCGCATTTCGGTGCTTTTTGTTTAGTTTTTTGGCGCCTGGGTCTTTTCTCGATATTTGGACACTCCTTCGTTCCCCCGGTCCGTGTTTTGTGTCCTTCTTTGACTCGGTCTCTGATCTCTGGACACTCCTTCCTTGCCTATCTTCAGTGCCTGGCTGCACCCTGATATCCATGGTGTCCCTCTGTGTATGTGCTACCACCCACACCGCACGTTGTGGTTGGTCATGTACATTGCGTTACCGGCTGCTACTTGGTCTGTATTCCGGTCTTTTCCTTGCCTATTTCCGTCTTTCCTCCCTCTATGCTCCACATGGCTGTGTATCATTATCAGTGCTTATTAGCTATAATGTTGTTGGGTGCTAGGGTGGGCCTCTGTCCATGTTCAGTTCCCTGATTTTGGACTACCCCGATGTTCAGTTTTGGTATCGAGTTCTTTCCCTTTTTCCTTGTTTCTCACTGCAAGCTTCTGTGTTGCAATGTCTGCGGGAGGTTGTGGACTTCCAGTCACCACTCCTGGCCCTACTGATTCCTTTTCTTGGGACAGGGGTAGTTGGGTTTCCAGTCCTGGCTACGGCTTTTCTTTGTTCCTTTTCCGGAACGTACGTTTTTGTTTTCCGGCGGTACACGTCCTGCAGAGTTCTCCTCCTGTATACCCTCGGAGATGCGTGCATCATTCTTCCCTGCTGGAGCTGGTTGCACTGCTCCTTTGGGTTGCAGGGTCGCTGTTTTTCGCTTCGCATCTCGCGCTTTAGTTTGTGGTGCTCGTTTTCTGCGTTGGCCTCTGCCTGGGCTCCCTGGCTCTTTGGTGTTTGGCCATGTGGGTCCTTCAGGGGTCCTGGGGGGGGGGGGGGGGATTCCTCCCGGTCGAGGCGTGTCTGCTCGTTCGGGTTGGTTCCTTTTCGGTTCACCAGGATTGGGATCCTGGTTCCCTGGCGACTGTTCCTTCTGGTTTTACCAGTCTTGGTTGGGGATGCTGCTTTACTCGGTTTCCAATCCTAAGGGGCTTACTGCGGCTCCACCTATTTTTGCGGGTCGGTCCAGCCCTGTACAAGGCTGGTTTGTTCTTCCCCCTCGAGTCTTCGTGTTTGGGGTTTTTGTCTCATGTTCTCGTGACTTGTGTGGGCACTGGTGGCTTCGTTGTTGATATCCCCCTGCGTGCTTCGTTTCGGCAGCAGTGTGCATTTTTCCTGGCGATCCTTCCAGTTTTCCTATCACTGCGAAGGGTTCTTTGATAGGGTTGTCTTGTCTTTCCCTTCAGGGTTGTTCCGGGACCGTTGTCTGGTGCCATGTATTGTCGCCTCATCTCGGGTGGCACTGGCGGAGCCGCTCCAGCTTGAGTTCGGTGTTGCAGTTCCTTCTGCTTCATTCTACTTGCTGTCTTAGGCATTGTTTCACCTCCGGCCTGTTCTTGCGCTTCCGGTGCCGTCCTGGTCGTTGGCCTGGGTGGTCATTTTCTTTCTTCTCCTCAGTTAGTCGTGATCCCTTCGGTTCTGGTGTGTGTTTGTTTTTTGTTTTGTTTTTCAGGTCTCCTCCTGTTGGTGTTGACCTCTAGGGGCAGTCAGGGAGTTTCCGGCTCTCCTCCGGCGCCCGTGTTTTTCTGCCTCATTTGATCCTCGTGATAGGTTGTTTGTTTGATGCAGTCTCCTTCTTTTTATGGGGTCTGCTGCTTTCCGGAGGGGTCCTTGGGTTGCTGCTTGGTTGGTCAGGCCGGGGGTGCTTCCTTTGTTGTTCGGTTGCGGCTCTTCACTGTTCTCTGCACGTCTTGGCCTCTGGGGCCATGGACGCATTTTGGTTTGCCCGGGTTTCCATCCTTCCCTCCTTCCTGTTCTGGGATTCAGGTCTCCCGGGTTGTCTGCAAAGTCTTTTCATTTCGTCTGTGGTCTTGTTTTTATGTTAGGGCGCGTGGCATCTGCCTCTCGGATCCTTCCCTCTTTTCCTTATCTGTGGTGTAGTAGCTCCGGGGAGCCGACAGGGTTCCCCCCCAGAAAACCAGCATTGAATGTAATGAAACATTTTCTGGGCGAGTCCTGGAGGCTCTACGGTATCCCTCCCTCTCTCCCTCCCTCTGGTCGGTGGTGTTTTCACACTTTTTGACATCCAGCCTAAGAACTGAAGGTTGGGTCGCCGGCGGGTGGGTCTGGGGCTCCCCATTTCCCCTCCTGGGGAGGGAGGGGGGGCTGCGCAGACAGCAGTGCGATGACATGACGACCTCATGCTAGTTTGCTAATTTTCATTTTCAATTCTGTCCACTTGTTCGGCCTTCAGTCGCAATAGTTTTACCAGAATAGGGGTTTGTTTTGGGGCGCCTACCTTTCTGGGTGCCTGTCCTCGTCGATAACAGACATAGAAGGCTCCCAACCACATGGGCATCTCTATAGGCCATTGCTCCTTGTGCCTCTTTAGAGGGGGGCCCCAGGTTCTGGCTTGTGGTCCCTGGTAGGCAAGAACTCCATGCATTGACTGATGCCAGAAAGATATACATATCCATTTAGCCTGGGTAGCTCCAAAGAGACTCCGGGACTCACCAAGAAAATGGCGTTTTCATTACATTCAACGCTGTTTTTTTGCCAGACTTCCCCATCCTATTGCAGCCAAAATATTTGCCACCTACAATTTTTATATTACTTTTCCCGTGATCAGGGAACACAAATGAACACTTTTATATGACAAAATATTTTTTTTTTACTTTTTTGGTTGCGCCTGTGGGTGTTGAAGGCCATAAAGCCCAGAGCAGCCCAGGGGTTAACCAGCTGTAATTTGTTTTGGAATACTGTACCTACCTTCCTGGTAGATGGCAGACAGACTGCTTCCAATTCCATGGGGGGTGTTTATAGGCCATTGCTCGTCATGCCTCATATTAGGGGGGGGGGGGCCAGGGTCTAACACTGGTCCCTGGTAGGCCTAGAACTCTATCAATTGACTGTTGCCATGGTCTAATATATGCACATCAGCCCAATATAGCTCCGAGAAGCTGAAGGGGCTCTCAACAGAAAAAGATACTGTACAAATGAGGAGTTACCATATATGGAATTTAGGTCTCTCATAAACTCACGTTTGCCACCTAAGCACATCTTTTTTAACATTTAGATCTCTTATAATAATGAAAATGGAAAAAAAATGAAAAACAGTGCTTTTCATATTTTTCCTTACTTGTCATGGAGAGTTCCTGCTAGCACCTCCAAGATCTCAGTGCACTGTCTGTGATAATCAAGCAAGTTTTCTGCGAATGTTGCAAGTTGCGATATCTGCTCGACCTGTTTCAGAAGAAATTGGTTAACAATACATTCATCATACATAATATAAATAACTAATATTCAACATATTAAAGTTTGGAGAAAATATAGTTTATCTACATACAAAACTGTCATGTATATACCATACAGCATCCCTGATGCTATGTTGCCGTGATAACTTTTCAAATATTAAGCCCCACAAGTCAAAGTTGTCTTGATGGCCTGCAGGAGTGCTTGACCATAGACCTTGGCCAGTTTCCCCCGTGAAGCGGCACGAGAAGCAAGGGACTGTCACAATCACACCTCGCTGGGAAACTACCCAGAAAGTAGACAAGACAATAACAACGAGGTTTGTGAAAATAAAGCATCGATCACTGAAAATGAAAGGGTTCACTAACAGCTTGATATGAAATGATCTAGTGCATGTGTACAAAGCCACCAGCTGGCAGTGTCCTTGCTTCATTCTAGCATTGCCATCTTGTTGCTGATACGAGATGTTCCACATCTCGCCTTCCTTAGCCGCCTTAGTAACCTAAGTTCCGTTTCTTCTCCAAGGTAAGTGCTGGCCATCCATTGAAGTCTATCCTGAGGGGCCTCTTCACCAGTGTATCATTCCTAGTTGTGTACCTTAGCTTCACAAGTATGTTTTCAAGCCACACTTGAGTATACTTGAGCGTGATTTGAAAACATTTTCAGCATTTTGAGCTGTGTTTAGGGCCATCTTACCTAGGCACACATTTAGCGTTGTTCCTGCACTGTCCGAGTTCCTTCTCTGGTGTGTTCGTAGGCAGAGTTTGGTGTCTGTTCTTCTGATGAATGTCCCTTGTTCCTGGATGTCCGGCTTGATTAGTTATCATGCCCTGGCAACTTCCCTGTGGGATCCCAGCTACTTGGACTGGATGGTAGAGCGGCGGTCTTGCTTCATGCAGGTCAGCGTTCAATCCCAGACTGTCCAAGTGGTTGGGCAAGATTCCATCCCCCCCCCCCCCGCTATCCCATCCCAAATCCTTATCCTGATTCCTTCCAAGTGCTATATAGTCATAATGGCTTGGTGCTTTCCTCCTAATAATTCCCTCCCTTCCCCTGTGGGCTACAGAATGCCAGGTCATGGACCAACGTGTTGAGCTTACCCTCACTACATGCAAGTTGGAATTTACCCTGAATTTACCTGAAAGTCCACTATCTCTCCAGTGACCTCAATGAGGATAGGAAGCCAGCAGCTTGTTAAAGGCATTCCCCTTTTGTCTTGATAATTTTACTGAGCTCAATCTTCAAATTCAAAAGTGTTTTGGCATTTATGGTTTTGGCAGGTAGGTAGTTCCACGAGTTTATAACCCTATGGGTGGAAAAGCAACTCCTGTTTTCTATCCAACATTGTAGCTTGTTGAGCTTTAAACCAATGCTCCTTGTTTGTGTTACATCTGACCTTTTATATAAGTTGTCTGGATCAATAGCCTCCAAATTGTTCAGTACTATATTTTAAAAGTTTTGATGAGATCAACCTGGTCATACCTGGTTTGTATTGTTAACTCTGTGGCCCTCAACCCTTATTGGTATGAGAGTCAATTTAGTTCAATAATGAGCTTTGTAACCCGGTGTAAAACTATCTCCAGAGATGTGTCTTTCTGAAGATCAGGTCTCCAGCTTGGATACAATAATCCAAGTGGGGGTACCAGAGATTTATACAGATAAATAACTCCCTTTATATTCTTGAAGTAAGCTCATTTGACTATTCCTAGGGTTTTTGTTAGTTTTTAGCTGTAGCTCCCACTTGTTATGCAACTTTCAGCAATTGGTGGATTTGCTACTTGCCAACGATCATTCAGTCTATCTTCACCATGCTGCCTGTTGGGTCGATCAACCCAACCTTCAACCCAAAGTCCTGTAACATTTGGGCTCACTGGAGACAAATGTTGCAGGACTTTACCTACCTCTACATTATCACAACCTCCTTCAGAACAGGAGACTTTTCAAGAAACTGAACTGCCACTTTGTGGGCTCATTTTTCCCACGTTCATAGTTTACAGCAAGGTGCTCTTTTGGATGTCCCAGAGTTTGCCCCTATGGTGTTTACATTTTGGTGGAGAGGATGAATTCCACCAAGTGTAAGCTTGCTCTTTTTCTTTTCCCTGCTGGTGTGATGTGCCCAGCATCTGGTCTCACCCTTTTTACCTTGTTCAGGCTCCAAAATGTATGAGGGTTTTGGAATCAGGTCAGAATTTAGCTGTGAATGTAACTCGGCCATTTTTGGGAGTTGACCCATCCACTTTGATGGCAGAGTCAGTCGAGCTTCCCACCAAGGCTGCAAAGCCTTCACCTTCACAATAACAACCTGGTTCAAATCCTGCTCTGTGGGACAATGCTTATTTGTACCAGGCAGTGGGTGTTGAATATGGTTCTGGTCCAGGGTAATCATGGCTGGCCCCTGGACTAGAACCAGGGGCTAGGGATAGGGGGAGAAGTGAGAAGGGGGGGTTCATGGGTGCCATTCAATTGCCCCTGGTTTTTGGTTCTATCCAATGAAGGTCTTTTGTCCCAGGAAAAGAATTTCTCCTATCCATTTTCTTTTAATAAACTTGATTTCTTGGCTGCTTCCCCCCCTGGGTGTGTTTCCATGTGCCATTCAGTCCTACAGAATTTTCTTTCAGGAGGTTACCCGTCATCCTGCCTTTCATCTGATGGCACATACAAACATTCTTTGGCTCCTCCTGCAGAATCCTTTGCTTCCCTAGTGGACTTTGCTTCCTAGAGGACCTGTTCTCATGAGTTTGGGTTGACTTCGGCTTTTTGACTTGGGTACAAGGTCTCTGACCTGTCCCGGGTGACAATCTCTTCCAATCCTTGGGGGCTTGACAGGGCTTCTGCCTATCCCAGATGCTTGAGTGGTGGGAAGTGAGTTCCATATCTCTGGTGTTCTTGGGCAGTGCTGCTTTTGTGCCGCTTGAGAACTGTTTATTTGCTCCTGTGCGCTCCTAGGATGAGAGCAGTTGGCAGCTCCATGTGCTGCTGCCTGTGTTCAATGGAGCCCTTACCACTGAGGATCTCAGGGCTTGTATTCACTTGGCAGCCGTGTTGTGTGTCTCAGCAGTTATTGAGCTGTTCTTAGATCAGCTCTGTGGTAGCCTGAATATTCTTCCTTCTGTTTCCAGTATGGTTACCTTGGTGCCTGCAGTTCCAGCTCCAGTAGCACTATCCAGGTTCCTCACTCCTCTTTCCTTCGAGAGGTGGTGCAAGCTTTTTACTTGGCAAGTCTCACGTGTCGGCAGGCTGTGCTGGTCCTGGTCTTTCAAATCAGCCTGGTCCTTAACCCTTTTTGTCTGCCTCTCCTCTTTTCTGAGAATGCCATTTTAGCTGTTATTTCAGCTATGGCTGCTGCTTTTCATCCCCTCAGTCAAGTACTTTTGTAAAGGTATTCTGGCTTTTTTGCTTGGAAGCAGTTCAGTAGGGTTGGGGTCTCAACTGCTGTTGATCGGGGTAGGCCTCCTGTGGAGTTGGATCTCAGTATCTTGTGCTTCCTTCAACTGATTCCTCCTTTGTTCAATGCTGCAATTACACATCATGGAAGGATGTGGTCTTCATGTCTGCTTGTTGGTCTTCACATCAGCCCTTTTGCAGTTTGCCCCTTAGATGAGACTGTGGGGAGATGTCTGGCCCCATTCTACTGGTTCCTGGTCCCACAATCGACAGATTTTCTGGGTTCTTTCCCAAGGTCTGCAGTGGAGTTGGTTCTCCCATCCTTTCCCCCCTCTTAGGGTCAGGGGTTTTGGGTCACATGTCCTACCCACAGCTCCATATGATCATGATGAGGTGGTTGGACTCGAGCATGGTCACGTTGACCTCCCTTCGGCCGATGACCCAGTTGTTCCTGGTCCCCATGTTAGACTTGGCAGATACATTCTCGATCTCTTAGGTTTAAACATGCCCAACCACCTGGGCTGAACTGTAGTGATGGTCTCACTTCATGCAGGTCAGTGTTCAATCCCTGACTGTCCAAGTGGTTGGACACCATTCCTCCCCCCATCCTGTCTCAAATCCTTATCCTGACCCCTTCCAAGTGCCATATGGTCATAATGGTTTGGCACCTTTCCATGATAATTTTTCTTTTTCAGGTTTGAAAAGCTTCATTTCCTGTTAGACCTTCTCCATGACCACTTTAGCTCAGATTTACCTAGTTTGCAGGTGGATTTCTTAAGGCATCCCTGGACATCAAGAATGCATACTGGCACATTGCTTTTCATCCAAGGTTCTGGGACTGGTTAGGGTTTCTAGTACGGATTCAGGCTTACCACTTCAAGGTTCTGCCCTTTGGCTTAAATTTGGCTTCTCACATCTTTACCATGTTATTGGGGGTTCTTGTGACCCAGCTATGTCTTTTGAGGTTTCAGGTTCTGGCCTATCTCGACATCTGGCAGGTTTTGGCATCATGTTGATCCGTGTATCAGCTAGCCAGGGATCTGGTTCTTTCCCAGCTTCGAGTTCTTGTAAATTGGTGGACATCTCGGTTGCTTTGTCCCAGGTTCATACTTGATTGGCCTCATTTGGGATTATCAGCCAGTATCTCTTTCCCTACAGCCTGCAGCTCTGCTCTGCTAGCAGCAGTATCACCATCTGGTGTTGGATCAGCCCCGAGTGACTCGTTAGCTGGTCAAGCATTTATGCATGGGCCTGAACCGTACCTGCAAAGTATTTACCATGAGCAGTGTTTGGCTTAGGGTGTTATATTGATTTCTCAGGTTCTGCCTGTCATTATTACCGGGAATGTTGGGTTTGGGCACCACCCACCCATTGTTAACTTTTGCTTCACTGGTTTCCTCTTTAGGCATTTTGGGGTTTGCTTCTGTGGTGTCATCCTTCACCATTGCTAAATCAATGAACTTTCATGGTTGTTCAATATCCTCCCAGTAAGTACTGTATAGGAAATATTTCCAGAACAAAAGTGGAAACCTTCAAGAAAAACTGGATAGTTTTATGCAAGGAGTGCCGGACCAATCGGACTGTATTGGATATGTGGGCCTGCGAGCCACTCCAAGCCACAGCCTGTTGGACCAAGATCTCACAAGTCAAGCCTGGCCCCGAGTCGGGCTTGGGGAGTAGAAGATCTGCCAGAATCTCATCCAGGTACCTGTAAGTGTTCTCAGAGGCCTCGGTTCTTGGTTGGGGCTTTGTGACCAACAAGCACCAGGCCTCCCAGGTCAGTGGTCAGGCTCACTCCATCAAGCACAGCATTGTACATGAGTTTGCATCAGTGTGGCAAGCCCTGCAGAGGCTTCATCTTCCTCCAGAATCCGTCATCCAGATCCATTCAGAAAACTCACCAGTGGTTCATTCCCTGAATTACAGGAGTCGCTTCAGTTCTTCCCTCTTTGGAGCTGGACTCTTTTGGTAGCTTAGCTTCTGGTTTCTTGGGGCCTGGTTCTCCCCAATGCTTCATGTATGTGATATGTCCAACATTCTCACAGACAGCTTATCTGACTTTTAGCCCAATTTCATGGAGTAATTACTTAAGTGTAATAACATTTGGCCAGACTTGTTGAGGTGGGGGTTCATATACTGTACCTCTTTCTGCCAATTAAGTTGATGCCTCAGGTTGGAGACATACTTAGGTTGGTGATTGTTTTGGCCCCCTGATGGTCAGCTCAGCCCTAGTTTCCAGCTTTTCTGGCTCTGAGTCCAAACCTGGGTGTTTTCCCATAACTCTGCCTTTGCCTCTGTTTTCAGCAGGTAGGGCCAGTGAAGTACCTTGCTGGTTTAACCTTCTCCTCCTAACAATGTGTCTGGAGTTCCTGATGCAGGTTCACCACCATTTGTATTGTGTGCAAGTTTACCTGACTTACCTAAAGGCCACTAACACTAGGGCCTCAATGAGGACAGGAAGCCGGCGGCTTGTTGAAGGTTCCCCGCTTTGTTTTGATAATCTTTTCCAGGTAGATTTTAAAACTTAACACAATTTTGGCAATTACGGCTTCGGCGGGTAGGCAGTTCCATGGGCTTATAACCATGTGGGTGAAAAAGCATCTCCTGTTCTCTCAGTCCCACATTGTGGCTTGTTGAGCTTGAAATTGTTCCTCCTTGTTTGTGTTACATCTGACCTTTCTAAGAAATTGTCTGGATCAACATCCTCTAACTTGTTCGGTATTTCAAAAGTTTCAATGAGATCTGCCCAGTCATGCCTGGTTTGCAATGTTATTAGCCCAGTGACCCTCAACCATTCCTGATACGAGAAATGACTTGGCTCTGGAATGATTTTTGTTGCCTGGTGTTGCATTTTCTCCAGAGCAGCTATGTCTGTCTGAAAATGAGGTCTCCAAGCTTGGATACAGTACATTTGTTGTACTTGGATATACCATTTGTTGATGTTCCACCCGTGTCTTTGGTCATGGCAACAGTATGAAGTACCTCGCCGCGCTTTTTGCCTTTGTCTCGATTCACTGTGTTTCTTCTGTGTCATTTCCAGTAATTCTTTCTATTTTATCCTGGTTGGTTGTTGATCAGAACTTCATGCCTAATACTGTCACCTCTTACTGTTTGGCTTTGGTGGAGACGCTTTTATTGGCGTTCAGCATCTATACTTCCTCGGCACTGTTTCACAAGTTGTTTTGGGCTTACTTTCACCTCCAGTTGGTTGATGCTTTTCCCAAGCCTTATTGGTCTTTGGATCGTGTATTAGTGCTTCTTTCTTCTCTCTTGGTTCATGGTTCATACTTTAGCCTGGGATATTTTTCTTAATAATAATATAATAATGTTTATTCAGGTAAATGTACATTCAAAATGAGTTACAAACAGAATGTTGGATTTCTAGATGGAGATAGTACATACTATGCCTAAAGCCCCTAATATGCACAGCATTTCGGGCAAGGTGTGGGAAAAACACATACTAAAACTTAAAACTAATTGAGATTAAAAGCATAAATTGAATTGAAAAAGAGAAAAAGAAAAAAGAATGATAATAATTACACGAGGATGGAACAGCAGAAATTGAAATAGACCAGCAGAAGTAACTTTAACTAAATAACCAGATGACTACAATTTTCTTTCTGTTTATACATGGCAGATATCAGCAGTAATATAAGTTGGTCAATAATCAATATTGTTTGAAAATAGCAAGACATAGGTTAACATTTAGGGAGTAAGGTAGGTTACATGGAGTTTATTAGAGGGTACTTAGATTTTTCTCTTAAACTGGTTGAGAGAGGGACAGACTTTGATGTGATTGGGAAGGTCATTCCATATTTTGGGTCCCAAGATTTGCAGAGCATTTAAGTTGCACTCTTGAAATATCAAATAGGTATTTGTTTCTGGTGTGGTGCCCATGGGTTCTGTTACAACCTTCTAGGAAGTGTTTAAGGTTAGGATTGGCATTACAGTTCAGCTTTTTAAATATATAGAGTACACTTGAGAGGATGTGCAGTGATTTAACGTCTAACATATTAATTTAAAAGATTTAACTAAAGGGGCCAGGTGCTGTCTGGGGCCAGAGTTTGTTATTGTTCTAATACAGTAGCATATTTGTGTTGAGTAATTAAGAGGACATAGATGATTTTGGGTAGTAGAACCCCAAGCACAGATACTATAATTGAGATAAGGATAGATGAATGAGTAATAGAGCATTACCAGGGCACTATTACTCTGTTCTGATCTGAATAATATTACTATTATTCTGTTCTTAAGGCACTGTTTTTGTTGGTTCTAGCCTCTAGTTGTCAGGTTGAGAAACTTCATGTTCTTGTTTAGAGGCATGGGTTCTGTTAAATAAAAGACTGCTTATAGCCCAGTCGATAGAGCTACAGCCTCACACGTGTGGGGTCCACGGTTCAAGACCCACACAGTCCAGGTGAATAGAATGGATTCTGTTCTTGTGGCCCTGTTGGGCAGTTTCTTTTCATGTAGCCATTTCCTTCTTTTCTGCCGAAGAATGAGATTGTTGCTTCCAGAAGGGTCCCTTGCTAATTGATGCTTGGGTTGTCTAGGAAGCGGTGCATCATCGTTGTGTCTGGTAGCAGTAGCTGGTTGCTACCTGCACACTACTAGTTCTGCTTTGGTGGATGTGCTCTTTGTCACTTTGGTTTCCTTAGTTACTTGTTCTAAGGCATGTTTGTCCCAGGTAATCTGCAGTGTCATTAACACTAACCATCCCATGTTCTACTCACAGGCCCATGATACTTGTAATCTCATGGTTTTAGCCGCCGCTCTTGCAAATACTTCATGGGCCAATATTCGGTTTCGGAGGTTTTGGAGATCCAACAGGGTCTTAGCGGCTAGGAGTCTGGTCAAAGACCTTCATCCTATTTAGGCTGGTGTTGTCCTGGGCCAGGTTTCCTGAACTGATGTTTCTTCTTTGGCTTTATAATAAAGCTGGTGCCTTTCCTCCTTACTGGCAAGTCCCATTTTTCCTTCTGTTGTTAGTTTCAAGTTATCACAAGTCAGGCTTAGGGAGTGGAACTCCCAGAACCCACTCCCTGTATACTACAGGTATACACAAGTGATATCTATTAAATAATAACAGTTTTACTTCTGGAAGCTTGCTAGAGTTTATGCATTAAATGAGCAAAGTAAGTGAGCAGGAAGCCAGCTTGCGATTGATTGAGGCTGGGCTCAAACTCTGGGGAGGGATGGACCACTCGAGACCAATCCTTAATTCCCTGCTACCATTCATATAGCACAAATTGGGGATCTGGTTGTAAAATAATTGGCGGATCATATTCCAGGGAAAACTAGCCGAGTAAGGCTTAAGATGAGTTGTATGAAGAGTGTTCTAGGTCTGCTAAGAAGTCATAAGTCATTTTTCAATGCATCACAGGAAATCAAAGATTTTCTTGAAAAAATATTGTATGTATACAAAATACTATAAAGCATCTTATCAACTGGGAACACTTAATAATGACAACAACACCTTGTACATAGTGCATTATGTCATAGTGACAGTCACACACCGAGTGCTGCCATTATCAACTGGGAACACTTAATAATGACAACAACACCTTGTACATAGTGCATTATGTCATAGTGACAGTTACACACCGAGTGCTGCCACAATTACTTACGTCATTCTCCAGGAGGTTATGCATGCCCATCTGTGCCAAATGCAGCGACTCGGCAAACTTGTCCTCCGCCATTTTGATTTCATCCTCGGTGACATGGGAACCTCCTGAGAGAAAAGTGTCAATCGTATTACTCAAAGTCAATCATCTGTTTGATTCATTATAATAATCAGCTATCAGCTATGCATGAAGAAAATAATCAAACAAAAAATATTTTAATAAATTATGAAAAAAATTGATGAATAAATTAATATTTAAACAGCAAATCTATTGCTATTGCACATTTAAAATCTCAACAGTTAAAAAATATCATTCAAACTCTACAATAAAAACTCCAGAGCAATCACCATTACTATACATGCAGTTTTGGGTTGGGTTAAATGATGACAAAGATCTTACACATATGAAACACCACACTGGCATCAGCAACCAATTGAACTGAGAATATAACAGAAAACATCTGACATTTTCATTAAATTCAATACAGTAATTCTACAAAAGCTTCCTCCATGAGGTAAAACCCAAAATAATAGGCTTACTATATACAACACCATGGGCCATACACAACACAATAGACCTACCAATATACAATAGGCCTACCCATACAATGTGAACCACTTGAAGTCTAATGCAGACCTACAACCACATACTTCTACAGTACAACTCACATAAAAAACCAGCGTTGAATGTAATGAAACGCCATTTTCTGGGTGAGCCCCGGAGGCTCCCTGGAGCTTATCGGGCTAATGTGTGTTATGTTAGACCGGGACATTAGCTAAGGAGTTCAGACCTACCAGGGACCAGCGCCAGAACCTGGCCCCTTCAGAGAGGTTTCAGGGAGCAATGGCCCTGGAAAACCCCATATGGTTGGGGGTTTTCCTTATCTGCCATCGACCGGGGTTAGGCACCCAGAAAGGTAGGCGTAACAAAACAAACCCCACATGGTAAGAAACTACAACAAAAACCGAACAGAGAGGTAGAAAACTCCCTACAATCCCAAGGAAACAAGCAAACAAGCAAACATCACACTTTACTGCCGCGCCGATCGTCCGCGCAGCCCTCCCCACCCCGGGAGGGGGAGGGGGGAGCCCCGGACCTACCGCGCCGGCTGCCAAGCTCCAGTTCGGAAGCTAAGCGTCAACCAACGCGAAAAAAACCGCCGACCGGTGGGAGGGAGGGTTTCCAGGGAGCCTCCGGGGCTCACCCAGAAAATGGCGTTTCATTACATTCAACGCTGGTTTTCTGTGGGGAGCCCCTACGGCTCCCTGGAGCTTCATACCCAAAGAGAAGGAAAAGAAAGGGCTAACCCGGGAGGCGGCCGCCACAAACTCTGCAACGCAAAGCCAAGACAACCGGACGCAAACCTGCGACCCAAGGCAACAAGAACGCCCAAGAACAGACGCACACATGGATGGGCGGCCAAAAAACCTGTGCGACCCACAATTCCCTGCGCCCGAAATGAGCCCGAGACGTCACCAACACAGCAGCAATTGCTGCAAACGTCTGAACAGCACGGGCGCAAAGACAGACCGCAGTAAGAAGGAAAACACTGCGGACGACCCGGGAGACCCGAGCCCTGAAAACAGGGAACGAAGGAACCGGATCAACCACAGCGCATCCCCAGGCATGGTACGCCGGCAACAGCAAAAAGCACAACTGGACAACACAGGACGCACCCCCCGGCCAAACCAAACAAGTACCAATACCCCAAGAACCCCTCCGGAAAGCAGCCGCCTCGACCGTCGCCAGGACAGAGAAAGGCTGCACACCAATAAAGCTACCACCAGTACCAAAGAGGAGGAAACTGAAACCGAAGGGGCTACCACAAACTGAGGGGAAGAGAAGAAGGCACCCTGAACAAGGACCAGGATGGCTCAGGCGACTCATGAGCAGGCCGGAGGGGAAACAAAACGCGAGAAGACGTAATAAACGTCATACAGTCTCCAAGACGAAGCTCGCAGGTGGGACACCGTCAACAAAGCCACCTGAACACCATAGAGATGGCGATACCTGCGTCAAAATACCAGACGCGAAGAGCCAAAGAGAAGGCCGAACCAGTCACGGACAGGACCGATTCGGCCTGCTGAAAGAGGCGAAGCCTCAGGAAAAACGCCCCGGGTACGGACACCTATCAAGCAGCGTCTGAAAAGAAGGCCGGGCCGGCCACAGTGGAACCATAAGGACTGTTCTCGTGGGAATGGGCTGCAACTGAGCCAGAACCCGAAGCAACAGCTGGACCGGGAGAAGAGGTACAGGTACCCCCCACCTCGACCAGGCCTGCCGAAAGCCTCCACCGTGAAGACCTCGCAGGTGGGAAGGGCGCCACAAAACGGGCGACGCCTAGACCACGCCGACCCGAAGACGTCCATGGCCATGAGTCCAGAAGCCCAACAGAGCCAACAAAACGCATCGGCGACGACTGGCCAACCCACGAAGAGGAATGAACCGAGACAGCTGTCCACCAGGACGCAGGACACACCCCGGACACGAACCACACGGTTAACCAAACCCCCTGTGGTTCCGGCAAGAACCACCGGAGAACAGTCCAAACAGAGCTGAATGGTAGAGTACCTAGTGACCCAAACCCTCCGAAGCGCAAACCAGACAGCCATGAACACCTGAACCGGGCTGTGAGCCCGACGGACAGACAGACTCCATCAACCTCGGCCGACCTGGTGAGCACTGGTCACAAAGCCCCAGCCGAGAGACGACCCGTCCGTGAACACATCGAGCGAAGGCTCGGGGAGCCGCCAAGGCACGGAACCCCGAAAACCCCAAAGAGGAAGCTGGTGACGCAGCACCAACACCAGATCCCCAGAGGAACCCAAGGAATGCAAGAGGCGGAAGTGGAGTCTCCGTAGGAACCAACCGACGCCGGAGCCAAACCCGACTCCACGGGCAGACAAGCACGCCGAAGTGCAAACTCCCGCACAACCGCCCAAGCAACCGCTGAGCAACCCGGGACCCCCTCCTGAACAGCCAAAGGCGGGACCACAGCCACAGTAACACTTCTGGAGGGAAGACAATGAGGGGCCCAAGAGTCCAGGCCCACAGTCCACAGAAACAAGGCCCAGGTCCGAACCCGGGACGGAAACAGAAGGTAAAACCTCCAGATCACCAGGAAACCAAACCCAGCGATCTGGAAAGAACCATCCCCTGGCGAGCAGACAAGCGGACTGACTGGGAGCCCACTCCAGCCAGTCGTCGAGGTAGGCCAGACACCGAATCTCAGACGCAGACAGGGCACTAAGATCCGGTAAAGATGCAAAGAGTATACAAAGTGCCCTGCACAAAATAGGGAATGCAATAAAAACAGCAAACCTGAAAGCCCCACCACCAAAGCATTGTATGACAATCATATGAAGACATATTATGACATATGACAATCATTATATGACAATATGACAATTAGAATCAAAGCATTATATGACAAAGAGTGCTGGGAAGACGGGACACCACGAGAGTAGCTCTCATCCTGTAACTACACTTAGGTAAGTACACATAGGTAATTACCAACCGTGCTAGCCCCAGAAAAACCAGAGAGGAACGTGCCAAGAAGTGACCTGGAGGTCCAGGTCCACCATCCATGCACCCGGCCCTAACAGAATCCGAACAGGAGACAACAGTCCTCCGAGCAGGGCAGAGGATCCAGGGCGCAGACGGAAGTAGTCCAGAAGAACTGCAGACTGGAAAAGCTCATGACTGCAAAGAGCAGACGGGAAGCCCAGAAGGATGGGGCGGATCGACCACGCCCCACGCACCCACGAAGAGGAAATGACGAAGCGCAGGGAAGAAGCCCACCCCGCCAGCTCGGAACCCCCCCCAAGGGGGAGAAGCCGTCCTCCGACGCCAGCAGAGGCCGGAAGACAACCCAAAGCGCCCACCAACAGAGGGACCAAGCAAGAGGCAACAGAGCAAGCTGCTCCCCCAGCGCCCAGTCAACAGAGAAGGGAACAGAACCCCTTCAGAAAGAAAAAGTACACTACCGAAGTCATGAGGAGAGACTACGGGAATGAAACCACACTTCGCTGGAAGAGGAAGTGAGGGGAGACCTGATCACCACATACCAGATACCCAAGGGAATCGACAGGGTTGAGAAGGACAGGATATGTAACACAAGGGGCACACGCACTAGGGGACACAGGTGGAAACTGAGTACCCAAAAGAGCCACAGATAGAGTTTTTTTTTTTTTTTTTTTTTTTTTTTTTTTTTTTTTTTTTGAGTGTCAGAATGGGAACGGGAAAGCACTAAGAAGTAATGTGGCGACTCCTCACACAAGTAACGAGGCTGACCCCCATACAATGTCACATGTAGACATGACAGAGCCCAAGAGGCACAGGAACCGATACACCTGTTGACGGACGGTTGAGAGGCAGGACCAAGGAGCCAGAGCTCAACCCCCACAAGCACAACTAGGTGAGGACATATATTGTAAAAGCACAAGCCGCCGACTAGTGGCAAAGAGCACTACGCCGGCCAGGCAAAGAAGGCACAAAACTGCATCAAAAGGCCCACCTCGACAGCAAAACCACAAAGTCCCAGCACAACCACAACATGTGCCAAGACCCAAAAAGCTCAGTCTGCAAGCCAGGAAGACCCCGGAACCCCAAAAGGCAGAACCGGGTCACTCGAGGAAACAAAGTCCCCTGAACCCACAAAAGGGGGCCCAAGAGGAAGAAACCTCCAGAACGAAACCAAGGAACCCAAAGGAACCCAGAATCGAACCAGGGGGAGCCCAAACCACCACATTTGCCGGCGGAGAACACCACTAAAAGGCAAAGCACAGACCCCAGCAGAACGCCCTGGGAAAACGGTCCCAACAGACCGAAAACCGAGGGGCAAGGTGTGGGAGCAAGCATACCAGCCAGGGGCACTGAGCCTAAACCCAGAGGCTCAGACCCAAAATCAACACCCAAACGTTCCCAGAGGAACAGGCAACGGCAAGAAAACACCAGAAAACAAAGAAACGACAACAGGAGAACAAAAACCCTGCAAATTTTTTGAAAACTCACCAGAGACGCTCGCTCGCACACCCAGACGCATGTAAACAAACCGCAACGCCGCCCTGGTGGCCACGCCGGGAAACCGGCAGACGAAAATGGCCGC